GAGAACTACCGGGATTTATAGGATCTCAGACACAATATGGCAATGGTTTGGGGGGTATATTTAGGGGCTGCTCAGGATGGCCCTTCCTCTTTTAAAACGGGGATTCCGCCTGGCTAAACCACATTTGAAAACAGCCGCTACTAACATCATCTGAGACGTTGTATCAAATATAGCCAAAGGACAGTTCTCTGGGGCTCAACAACAACAAGAGCAGCAGTGTCACGGCATGCTAATACACACCCGCAGGGCTTTGAAAAGACCCCCCACAGGCAGGGGAGGTGCGGGGCCAGGGACCAAAAAAAGTAAAAGGGATGGTAGGAACAAGACAGGAGTCAAAAAGAAATCTGGCACAGCCCGAAGAGGTTCTCAGATAAAACGTGCCTGGATTTTGGCTAAAGACATATTTTAGAGGTAAAAACTATGGCGCTCATCCATAATCAGTCGGCGGAGTGTGTCAAGTCTGAACTGGATCTCTAGAGAAATATTCCTTCATTGAGATCCCGCCAGTCTCATCCATTACAGACAGAGGCCCTTTGGAGTTTCATATTTCGGCCAGCGGTGAAGATTACCTGGATCGGAACGACACCTTTCTGTATATGCGTGTAAAGATAACTAATGCGGATGGGTCCAATTTAGCAGCTGATGCTGATGTCGGCTTCATAAATTACCCTGGATGTACCTTATTCTCCCAGGTTGATATCATGCTAGGGGATAGGCTCATTTCACAATCTTCAAACACCTACTCATACCGAGGCATAATCGAATGTTTGATTAATTACGGGAAAGACACCCTGGAGACGCAGTTTAGTACAGCTCTGTTTAGTAAAGACACCGCGCAGCATATGGACGAGACGTCTATAAAAGGGGACAACGAGGGGCTGGCCGCGCGAGGAGGACACAACGTTGAAAGTCGTATAGTGGAGTTAATTGTACCAATACATGGTGATTTGCTTTTTCAAGAGAAGCTGTTGCTTAACGGCGTTGACATTTCCCTGAAATTTATACGGTCAAAAGACGAATTCTCTCTGATGACGGCTGCAGCGGCTCAATACAAGGTCAAGATAGTTGCCGCTAGTGTATTTGTAAAAAAGGTCTCCGTAGCTCCGACAGTCCGATTGGCGCACAGCAGGGCTCTTCAACACACAAACGCCAAGTATGCCATCGACAGAGTAGCGCTGAAAACATTCTCCATTCCGGCGGGGACCCGAGTCTGCAACCAGGAGAATCTATTCATGGGACAGATCCCTAAATTTATTGTTTTAGGGTTTGTTGACAACGAAGGATACACGGGTAGTTATAAACGGAATCCCTTTAATTTCCAACACTATGACACTGAGTTTTTAAGCATTTACGCTGATGGCCACGCATATCCAGCGAGACCGCTACAGCCACTCTTCCAGAGCGGCCAGTACGTGAGAGAATATTACCACATGATTCAAAAAACAGGTCGACATTTAAAAGACAGATCGCTGGCTGTAACACGGGGTGATTTAGGTCACGGTTACTCGCTGTTCTGTTTTAATCTGGAGCCTGACGACGGGCAGTCGGGGAACGTGTCACTAACCAAGACGGGGAATGTGCGGTCTGGAGGTCCGCTTCAGAACAGCCTTTCCTCGTACCATAAATCTCATTTGTTATTCTGTTTTTGACTCTGTTATCGAGATATCAAACCAACGCCAAGTCTTGGTGGATAACTTTTAAACACCATGAACACCATAGAGCTGACGAGTATTGTTCGAAAACGGGTTGTTAGGGGGGTCGATTTTATGGGCGTGTTAGCGTGTGACCAGCTGCCTATGAAGGCTTTGTGCAAGTATCCGGTGATGACTATTGTAAATACGCACCCTTCCAGCAGCCCCGGGGAGCATTGGTTGGCGATTTATATCACAAAATACAAGCATGTCTATTTCTTTGACAGTTTTGGAAACCCTCCTGATTATGAACATTTTCCAAAAGAAATAGTTAATTTTCTCAATTATAACTGTACGGCTATGTCTTATTCTAGGAAACAGGTTCAAAATAATTTTACTACAACCTGTGGTCAACATTGTGTGTTTTTTCTGTGTTATATACAAAAAGGCTGGTCTTATTCACGAGTTTTAAGTTTGTACGGACCTAATCTAGTCAATAATGATGCGATGGTCTGTCGTTTTGTTAACAAAATCCAACCCTTTGGGTGTTGTGAGGATGCTTTTACGTGTGTACAATGTGTGATCTAATGATAAACTATCCTGTGATACATTTTATGAATGAAATATATAAAGACAACTTTCAACAGTGAACACCAATTTTATTTTTCCATCCACAAAGAACACACTAACAGATAATACACAAGCATTACAAACACTTGTAGAAAGTTTAAAATAATAATAATACACAACCAAGAAAAAAAGAAAAAGTAATATGCATCCAGTACAAGCTTAAAAATAATAATAAAAATACATGTGCCACTCAGTAATAACACAACACATCTTAAAAATCTTCCCACGAACCATCACTCCTAAAAAATTTGGTCTTTAGGGATTTAGGTGTCTTAAAGGGGATGCTGTCTATAGATCGGCTGGTCCTAGATTTTGTTTTGAATGACCCCAAAACATTAAAACCCCCGTCATAAACTGCATCACCCCCCTTATATTCAGCAATAGACCTTCGAACCTGCATGTCGGGGATAGGGGGATATTTAAATCTGCTAGCGTTTTTAAAAATATCTTCCACCCGATAGGTCTAGATTCGTCTAAAACATTGTACGAGGACGTGGCACTTTTCGCCAGATCATACAGATGTGTGCCTTTGATCGTTTGATTGTTGACAACGATCTCCCCTCGGTCTGTCCAGGATATGCCGTTTTTTGCATGGTTAAAAGCATCCAAAATATATTCGGCATGTTTTTGACTTTTTTTAGGTATGTGCCTGATCACATTGCCTAAAATCACATCTTTTCCTGGTAAGTCATCTGCTGAAACGACAGGATTTGGTACTGAGTCACTTTCACCGGAGGGTAGTGGTAAAGGCAACGGCCCCCCCAACACATCAATCATAGCTCTTTCAAGCTCATTTTACATCGCCTGTCTTATAGACCCTCGTTGATCCTGCTGATGATGCTGAGGCTGCTGCTTTACTATGCCAATCTGATGCTGGGGGACCACCATTCTTTGGGTGTGCTCCATTTTTTACCCACGCCTATTGACAAGACTAATTATAAACGGAATAGCAGCCCCTAATAACAGTAATAAAAAGCCCCCCGACTGGTTGAGGGTCTTTTTCTTCTTGGTCCGTTTAACTTTTTTATCCGCCACCAGTCGGATAATCTTCTTCTTCTTCTTTAAGAGGGCGAATTGTTTGTCGGTCAAAGGAATGTTACCTTTCAATACATTGAGTGTGATCTCACACAGAGAGAGATAAAATCCATGCTTGCATTATTAACAATGACACGTCGCACACGAGGCGTATATTTATATATCAACTCCAACAATGCCAAATTCCTCTGCATGCGTGATGACATTTTAGCGTTATTAACACCTGTTTGTTTTTTGGGGGAATATACACAACCTGTTGTTCCGATAGCAAAGCCGTTCTGAGTCTTAAATGTTCGGGGGTCAACGCTTTATAATCTATGAGAAGATACCCATATGATTGTTGGGTCGCATCATTAAAGGCCGCTAAAAAATATTTAGTATTACCCGGAAACATCTGTCTTGCCAGTAGTGTGATTTGATTTATACCTAGGGTTTTTAAACAGAATGAGATAGTTGGTGTTTAAACTAATAGTGCGACTAGATTTACCCTGAATAAATACATTTTGTACTAAATATATACAACTGAGATTTCTATGATGTACATATTTGGTAAAAACATTTTGAACTTCTATATTATTCCCGGCATCATTCATTAAATCGTCTATAATGAGTAGATTGTTTTTGGCAGGAGGTAGTAAAACATCATGGCACAAAGACTCTGGTAAGCCCTCTACAAAGTTAATGTCTCTTGTTTTAAGCAGTTGATCATATGAAGGCTGCCAGCATGAATAAATGTAGACGACATTGTCAATACGATGTGAAATAACCCTCTCAGCATTTGCAATAATGTCCTTGACAAAAAAAGTCTTTCCACAGTTTGACGGCCCACTCACTACCAAACTAAAGGGGCTTTGTAGTCGTGCCTCAAATCCTTGATCGCTGTTAGTATCCATAAGGAAGGGTCGTATAGTCAGACAACACCCTCCGCTTATTGTACACCACTCTGACTTGCTTAAAAACTGTCTCGTTTTTAAGATGGAACTTCTTTTTATCAAGCTTGATAGTTTGAGACACAGTGGTCAAAGTGTGTGTTGTGATTGGTTACATAAGCCTGTACAAGACCAATCAGGGACTGTGGGGTGACGACGGAGGCGTTTCTAGCGCTTAATGTGACGCCTTTACATTTGACAGCTGTTTTACCCTGCATCGTGTTACAGGCATAGCATTTGGGCCCTCCTGATACAAACTCTGTGGCAGCCCACATGTGTCACCTCTGTTTAACTTATCAGTCAGGTCACCAAGATATGCCCCCAGTGGCAGCAGCCATTCGCTCCCTCTCGATGTAAAGACAATGCTGTCTTTGTCACAGTACAAGACCCTCTCCTGCAGTTTGTCTAACAAGTCATAGAGGATCAATCTGACATGGGCAGTTGTCAGGGCTCCTATAAAGACGTTTACGTCTTTGTTACGTTCCAGCTCCCAAAAGGGAGGGGAACATGACAACCCACTGCTCCGGCCCACCGGTGCCAGCAAAAGGGGTATGGAGTCGCGGTGCGAGAGAAGGACAAACACCAAAGACAGTATAACGCTTTTATCTAACAAAATAAATACACATAATTAAACAATAACTTTCTGGGAAAAGGGGAGGGCTGGCCGGACCAAAACAAAGAAATGAACAAAAAGGTCCCCACCCCTAACCTGTACTAACCCCCAATTGAAAACACTCTACCTGGCACACGGTCAAGGCGCCCTAACCAAACTTACAGGTGGTGGTCCGCTCAGGTCCAAACTGGTGTTCCTAGACAGAGAAGTAAACCTACGGGTGATGTATACCCCGGGGTAGCTCTAAATCTACTCCCCACTCCCTGTGAACAAAAGAGAAAACAAATAATTAGTCAAATGACCCAAACAAACAATTTCTCCCTCCTGCTGCTGCACATTCCAAAAGGAACACAAGTTATTTAAATCTAATCACAATTGAATATCTCCTCATACAGGGTACAAACCAAAGGCAACATATGGGAATATGCAGCGAGCATGCAGCGCCCAAACTGGTCCAAAACTGGGCTTTTTAAAGAGCCCAGCCAGCTGCAACCACTGATGAGGGGGGTGGAGCTCCGGGTCCCAATCCTATCTGGAAAAAACACACACACACACACACACGCAACTACAAGTAATCCCCGAATTGGAATAATTATACGAACCCAGATTTCTGGGGACGTAACAGTCTTTTATACGGGAACCGCTGGCGTCTGCATGTCGCCACTGTACCAAAGCCACGTCATCTGAGATAAAACAGAATTGTCGCACATCAAAGTGGTCACTAAACATCAATTGTGTGAACCGAGCCGGATCTGTGATCAGCTCGCATGCAGGCATATTATTGCGCATACTAAAACAGCCCCACAAAGAGTTTAAGAGGAGTTTGTTGCAGCTTCTCATGACTTTGTTGACCCTGATTTTGTCAGGGTTTAATTGAATGCCTTCCTTTTCAAAATAGTTTTTGACATATTTCTCCTTGTCGTCAGGGGTTTTGACATGGCCAGGGTAGCCTGACGCTTCCTGTTTACACTTCATGAATGTCTTCACATACCCGCTGAACAATGTGTCTGTTTTGTTGGGGAAATGCCAAACTTCATCAATGGACACAATCCTGTATCCCTTTTTTCACAGCCTTCTGCAGTTCAATTGACACCCAGACCCCCGCCAGCAGTCTGTCTCTGTCTCCGTGAGTGCACTCGCCACTCTGATTCAAATCCTCAGCACATTTGCCACACAAGGAGAACATGAGTTTGTCACAACATCTGTATGGTAGGACCAGGTGAAACAGCCCTCTGGGCGGTAGCACTGTGCACTTTATGAGTCCAAAATACTTGTCAATAGACTCAAAATCCTTCAGGATAACCTGAGGATGTCCAACTGGATACTGCTTTTTAGCCTGAACCGTTGGATAAAGACTGGTGAAGTCGTAGTACCTGATTTTTTCATCAGCACCGATCTTGTGGTACAGCTTCATAGCATTTGTACGTCCCCCAAAAAGGGCCTTTCTAGGCTCTAGACGCTCACGCTTTTTGTAAGTAGCCATAAAAGCCTGTACAGCCCCGCTCGTCCGTTTTAACGAAGACCACTCACACTCCCACATCACTACAACTCGCAGCCTGTTGTTTTTTCAGAGTATATATTTTGTCCATGAACACCTTGTATTGTCTACCGTAGGTGATTTTTGTAACAGGGTTCATGTCGCTCTGGACGTGGCATTTGACACATCCGTGGAAAAAACATCCATCAAATTCATAGCAAGTGTTTGCTACAGAATTATAGCCATCCACATAGAACGGCTCAAAAAGCTGTTCACCGTGATTGAGAGCATGTTTAATCTCGATATTCTCTGTGAGGGCCACATATTCAAGCCATTGCATCGATACATCAGAATACGTCTTATTCTGAGCAGTGTATGCCCCCTCAAACGTCAGAGCAACTGTGTCCTTTGAGAGAAACAGGGTTTTGAACACCCCCCATGCAGCTGGATGCTAGGGTGGTAAATGAGAAGGGGTCAAGCTCCGTGCACTCTATGAATGTCTCACGATAGATGCTGCAGGCTCTTCGCAACACTTCTACATCGTTAACACAGTAGCGTCCGATTTCTTTTTGGAAGTCAAATGTTCCGCCTGAAACGGCAGTATATCATTCCATCACTGTTGCTTTATTGCTATCACTCATATCATCAAAGCCGTAGTAGGACGGATCAGGATATTTACCGACATAATACTCATGCTCCCGGGTGTTGAACTTGTGGGGAAAATAGCCTTCTCGACATCACTGAACCCTAGGGCAGCGGGGGTTTTGACAATCGCATGGGCAGGAAACTGAATGAGTCAATCCATCTCTGCCGGTATGAAATGTCATACATCAGTATTACCCTACTCCCTCTCATGATGACTTGCGGAGTGATCTTTTGTTTTACAAAATATTCCAACAAAATATAGTTGTCAAAGCCGGATGCGTTGTGGGCAATAAACGTGTAGCCTTTGTATCTCGGTCTTCTGTAATACTTCACAAAGGTGTCCACACAATTCAAAGTACTGAAACAAAACTTTTTTCCCTCTAAATCCATAGCACATACATAATTTGCCTCGTGTTTTCCGTTATGAAACCTTGTCTCAAAGTCAAATAATATGTAGGTTGTTTGCAGCTCTTTCTTTTCAAGAGGCTGAATAAAACACTCATGTTTATCTTTGCTCTCCATCTGTTGCTCACCACAGTGGGCGCAGACTTTTGGAGCGCATTTGTGCGCTTTTTGTCCTGCTTTGTATGTTTTTCCACATGCATCACAGTATTTCATAGCATCACAGGGTATGAGGGCATGGACGCTTTCTGGACGCTTGTGCTGATCAAAACAATATTCTGACTTACATATGCGTTTACAATCACCGTATTTCTGTGTTTTAACCACATGTGTACGACACTCTAATGTAAAACGCACATTACACAGATGTTCACAGCTGTGGTATAGTCGATGGTCATAGGTTTGGTAGCAATACCGGCATACTTGTTTTGCCCCAAAAAAGCCTTGCTGGTTTTCAATCAGGTGATAATGGTTATTGTGTAGATATAACCAGACTGTCTGGGGATGAGGCGCATTGTGTATGCGCCTCATCCTGCTCCAACCTGCTGCATGGTGGAAGATTATGATTTTCACACCCAGATGTCTTTCAAAAGCATCTACATCGGAGAATGAGACCTTGTGCATTGGTCCAAAACCCAACGAGCTATGTGGTTGAGTTGCAAATCTCACTTTAGCTTGCAGGGACATGTCTGGATGATTAAAATGTGCTAAACAGAGTGAAAAGCACACGTTATTATCAGTATTGTCAGGGGTGTGCAGACACCGACACTTCTTTGATAATATCTCATCATAGGGTACATTTGCTTATTTTAGATAGACCCCACCGTTTCTATTTTTAGCTACGGTGATCACTAATTCCAATTCATCATCCGTTATAGCCTCATCATTGCTCTGTATCACTTGAGCAATTTGCTCCATAAACAAGTCGAGAGTTGTACGACTCGTTTACACGTAGAACAGCTTGTATATCACTAGCCAATGAAGGCCCCCGTAACAAAACGTTCAGCACACTACCAGCCGGAGAGGCCTCTACAGCTCTATCAATTACACCCGCCACTCTTTCTCTGACCATGTAGGGGATTTGCTCGAGGTGAGTAAGATCCACGTTTCTGAAATCAACCCTTTGTCTAAGCTCAAATGCATTGAATGAAGGCATCTCTCTCCTGGTGACTGTCTTCCCTCTATGCCTGAGGAGGTCTCACCCCCCCTCATTATCTCCCCTCCTCCTCCTGTTAGTGTATTATCATGCCCCCCTTCTGTTCGTGCCTGCTCCCCTGACCCTCCCTCTTGACACTTAGCAGGCCCCCCAACACCCTGTTCATGCTCCACATCTCCATTTGTCCCCATCTGATTCAGCCGGTCGTCACATATTTCTGCCGACACACACCCCACAGCCCCTGCATCATTGTCTGTGTACACAAGTGGTCCATCTGCATGATCCAACACATGGCTATTTGCGCCAGAGGTATTAAACCCAGGGTCTAGGACACTGACAGAGTCTGCATACTTGCTATCTAGATACGATGAATGTTGTTCTGTATAATGAATTCTGTCAACATCATGAAAAGCTTCTGCAGCGCATGCAGCAGCAGCAGCAGCATCAACGCGCGATCTCTCCACCAGTGCTTGTAGGCTTTTAAGCTGTTCCTCTGTATTCTGTAACAGGACCCTATACCCATCATCATTATTATTATTATTATTATGGTTATCCCCTGATCGTTGTATATCACCCGTGCCCCTCTTCAAAACTTTTCTGGGGCAAGGCGTACTACACGTCTGTATTGTTCATTTAGACACCACCCCTTATAGACACCATCCCTAGTAGATTACCTTGGATAAAATGTATTTGTAAGTAGAGCTATGATAGCTTCACTGGATGCATTCTGAGCTATCAGGTATTGTTTTATGGAGCTGCCGTTGGCGTCCTGTGTTTGTCTAGCCTCCCTTTGTTTCTTACATAGATCGGTTACTATCTCTTTTAATGCAGTGTTGGACTGTTCAACACTGATTTCAGATTTCAGTTCACTGATTTAATTTATCAACTCTACATATAAGGTGTTAGCGGTGTCCCTCGGGTGCACAATCACAACCGTGGGTTCTGTGGGTATACCTGCTCTGTTTTGTTGAAATGGGGTTACACACTCTTCCGATGTTGCTTCTACTGTAGTACTCTCTTCTTCATAGTCACAGATCCCCTGCAGCATTTCCTCGTCAGTCAAGCATCCTGGATAGTTCCATGTGTCCTTTGTTGGTGTAGACAGGTCAAGCTGATCCCTGCTGTACAAGCATACATGGACAAAATATGTTATAAAACAATTGTATATATATATATACATCATCCAGATATATATATATATATCTGGATGATGTCACATACCTTGTAGAAGGTCTCTCAGACTGGTCAACCGTATGTACTTTTTTTTCACTGGAGGGGCATACAGGTCTATTATTAAAAAAATAAAATTAAAATAAAAAGTTCAACAACAATAATCAATAAAATACATGAAAATATTTGATATTGTTCCAGTTACCTGCAACCCCCTTTTGATAACGACGATCAGTCGGTTTTTCCCAAGATGTCGATTCTTTCAAGAGAATTATAAAATCACCATGAATGATTCGTCAAATAATAAATATATAGAAATCTTATATCATACTGCCATTTTCCCTACCTGTGCCAGTTCCCTGGTTGGTGCACATAGTCGTTGGTGGTAGACAATTGAGTGCAGCAACCTCCTTTTTCAGTTTTTCAAGACTCACATGTATAGGCGTCAAGCTGTCATCTATTTCTAAAAGGTGTAAATACCTATTAAAAATATATATAAATATATAAAAACAAATATGTATCACGCGACATATTACTATCTTTAAAGCTTTTTTTTGACAATGACAATGAAATAAGTACTTACCACGTATCTGGTCCATTGCTCCCCCCTTGTAGTACATCTGACTCTCAATGGAAATGTCTTAAATATGAGGATGCACCAGTCTGCCAAGGTGTCAAGTGAACCGTGGCTGTATCTATATAGGAGACCCATACCCCCGAATGCATCATCGTTACCACCTAAGGATCCTGTTTTTTACACCCCCCCGGGTCTCAGGGGGGTTCATCTGTTGATTAAAACTAAACAAACTGCTCACTGTTTACCACATAAGGACACTGTTTTTTCTCCATCCCTGGGGGTCTCAGGGGGTCTCAGGGGGGCCATTCTCGAGCCATTTAGGGTTTGGCACCGTTGGGGTGCTGAGTCACAATATGCTGTGCTAGGTCAACACATGTATTCCTCGTTAAAAACTTAAGATGTCTGTTTTCCTGAGGGTAGGCCTTTGTGACCCTCAGGGGGGTTCTCGGGACATTTGGGGGTTGGCACCGTCGGGGTGCTGTGTCACATTATGCTGCACTAAGTCGACACATGTATTCCTCGTTAAAAACTTAAGATGTCTGTTTTCCTGCGGGTAGGCCTTTGTGACCCTCAGGGCTTTCCTCTGTTAGGTTACAAATTGTGTCCTGATGGCTAAGAAGAAGATAGCCCCCTAATTCATGCATTAAGATGTTAATGGTGAATCTGAACAGAAGCACCAGTGTCTCACTGTTTTGTGGCGGGGCCTCTCATACCTTTGAAGAGAAGAAGAAGACACCGGGACCACACTGGGATAGGCCTCTGCTCTTTCACTAAGAATCCTGGAGCGTGAACCCCGTGGATGAGTCCAAAAGGTTCGATCGCGGCACCAAATAACGTCATCGTCAAAATGGCGTATTTATGCTTAAACAGTGCACGCCCCCCTACAAATCACGCCCCAAAATGACGTATTTCCGTTTCCACTGGTAAAATGACGCATTTCCGGGCATGACCGCAAAATGGCGGCGGTTACGCCCACTTCCTGTACACGCCCCCTTGCGCGTGCATGAGGTCAAAGATCACATACACAATCATGATTAATTAAACACATTTATGCGATTAATACATTGTTAAATCATTACTAAAAAATAGATTCTCAAACATGTTTGAACATCACTTAATAAAATACGTATGCATGCTGAGTGTAATTAGAGGCTGTTTGCAATGATGTGGACAAATAATTTGAGGCCTGACCAGATAGGTTTGATCATTACGTGTGAGACAGACTTTTTTTAAATGTAAGTCTGTAAGCAGTGGCCCCAAGCCAGCACATGTGCAGTGTGAGAGCTGACAACCCGAGTGCAGTGAGCAGTGACCCATGCTGAGGATCTGCTTCGATAATTAAAGTTCATTGCTTTTCCATCGGGCTTTTTTATTTTTTTATTTATAGGGTAATTTAATTTGGCATGGAGGGGACAAAAAAAAAAGTGCACTTTAGATTCTAATTGATGCTGGGTTCTCCCGGTACTGCACCCTCAGCATTCTCTGCAGTCAATGAAGTTAGTTAGGCACGGGATGGAGTGCAGAGGAAGACGGAGAAGTGGGAGAAAGGTGACGAGAGGGACAGGCACAGGGAAGGGGAAGAAAATAAGGAGGCTATTACATAGGGTGGGTGGGGGATGGGGGTGAGGAATAATGAAGAGTGTGTCACTATACAAAGCCTACTATACTCTTTTGCAGCGGGTCCCCTATGTAACGCACCCTCCCCCTCCCACGTGGCCTTGCTCTCTCCCCCCCATAGAAATGTAGAAGCTTGTCATGGTTTGCGTCTCCCGCCGTGGCAACACAACGTAGATCACCTGGCCGAGTCCTCGCCAGGTGATTAGTTTTATACTCCACTGTATCTACAATGTCATCTTACTTATGTGCTTGTTGAAAACCTGCACTGATCCCTCCCTAGATGTTACAAAGGTTAAGGGATTGCAGATTGGGAAGTATGGTTTCCCTTGCATACTTTCTGCAGCACTCTTATTTTAAGCATCTTTACTTTTTGCAACTATGGGGATCCTCCCAAATGACCCAAATGCGATGATGCATTTGACACCTTTGTTCGTTAAGAAAAATAGGGAGCCGAAAGTCAGCCTTTCGCGAGCTACCATGACAACATAAGTATGTCTGGTATAAGTATAACAGGCCGCGGAGAGGCAGCCTTACAAAGATTATGTAGCCCCACTTCTCTGCCTCCCAATAATTCACTTTGGTCCTGGTGGAGTAAAGGTGTCAGCCAAGACATTCACACCACTGGTTCATCTAAACAGAGAACTGGAACGATGAAAGGAAAACACCAGAGGGGATGGGGGGGGTGGGAGGGTGAGGACAAGTCGCTCTTTTAATGACTCGTGTGTGATGGGAATGCTGTTAATGAGGAGGGCTGGGATGAGAAGCGGCGCTTCCCACGTAGCAATGCAAGCCTAGGAGGAGCCCGAAGAAGATCTGGGCTCGGTTTGCTCTGCAGACCACAGCAGTGTAGGATGAATAGAGTTTGACTGTGAGGCAGGAAAAAAAGGCAAAGTGATTGAGCTTCTCCTCTTGCCCCATCTCCCAGAGAGACAGGGCAGCTCTCTGGTGCAGATCAGTAAGGTGGAAGATGGAAAGTGAGCGGGTGGGAAGAAATAGGGAAAAGCGAGGGACAGAAGCCCAGTCAGTACCTCCACCGGGGCTCCACTGCTCTTAAGTTTCCATCTGCAGATGAAAAATAAATAAACTGGGTAGACGGCCTTCATCTCCTCTGAGAGGGAAAGGGAGGTTTCCTAGGAGCAGTCTTTACTTCCCATATAGTTATCGCTCCATCTTCCATCTATAACCGAGTCATTCTTCACACACGTGTACATGGATATTCCACATGTAGACGATTCTTGATAAAAAACACTTCATTGGACATGTACCCACACTCACTACACCGAAGCAAGCATGATTGATTTACAATATGTACATCGGTGCCGCACAATGATTCAGATTTATAATAACGATTAAATCCTGTGATTTTCTTCACTTGTTCTTTTTCTCGCGGTGGAAACAAATTAAATTTGATAACTAAGACTGTATTCCCTCCCATGTGGATTGCATAGATGGTGTAAAGAGACACAGAGACGCGAGGAGAAGAGAGAAAGGGAGAGAGCGCAGATGTGACTCCCCTCTGTTAATTTTTGGGAGGACTGCCAGGTCAGATGGCACGAAGGGACGTGTGGTCAAATGTGACCTGCCATTTGCAAAAGTTTATCTTTCTATACGCAAAGTGTAGTGTAAATTCTGACCTGCACTAAATGTGAGTGTTCTGCATTGAATGCCAACACTACCATCTTTTTTTAAAGTCCACTCATATGTACTGCTGCTATACGGCTGCTCCCTCCTTGACGTTTAGCTGACATATGAATTTGTATCAAATCTGTTGATTAACTCAACTAATCCAGAGGTCTTCAACGTTTTTCAAGCCAAGGTCCCCCAAACTGATGGCGAGGTGGAGCAGGGACCCCCTATTCTACAGAGTTTGGTCCGCCATCTTTTATTTTTGAGCTTCACGCTCTTTAGACGTGAGCATAAAGGCGACCTGATTGGCTGGTGCCTGCGCTGTCGTATTCGCATGAAAGGAGCAGTGAGTGAACCGGTGCCCAGCTTGAGAGCTGCTGAGGGAAGCTGGATGTGTGTGTTGCGGACTGACAGATAACGTCTTCTCCATCAATTTATCCGTTCGCTTCAATATGTTGGATTCATGTTAATGTGTATTTAAAAACCATAAATAAAATTCTGATTCTGAAGACATTTACATTTGTGGGGGAACAAATAGTTTTAAAAAATTGTCTTATCAACCAAAAATTTCAGTACCTTCGCGGACCCCCTGTTGAAGACCTCTGAACTAATCTATGAGCCCACAGAATCAATCAATTAATCAATCAAATCAATTTCCTTTGGTCAAGCACAATTATGCGCGCTACACTGAGAAAACCCCAACAATAACATGTCTGAAAGCATCTCAAGATTGGAAAAGGCACATTTTTATCAGCAGCACATTACCACTAAGTAATAGGTATTCAAGGGTTATCCTTTACATATTGAAGAGCATTCTGTGTTTAATAACACAGGATTGTTTGTTGTTATCAATGTTCATGCAATAATGAGGGATTCTAAAATGTATTTTTTATCCAAACAAGCAATACATCATTTTTGTGTGAGCTGGATATTTTGTCATTCTATCTGATGAGTGTCACTGCGGCACATTCAGAAAATCTAAATTTGTATTTATTGAGAGTAAAATCAGACACGCAGCTTTATGGTCTTGCTACCTAAATAACTACATTGGTTATTCTATTTTAAGATACATTAATACATTTAGCGCAGGGTGTGTTGTGGTGTAAAATGTAGTGATATGGATGTTGTGGTTGACAGTTGGGTATAAAATCAGAGGGACTTGAACATAACAGATCAGACTTTATCCCGTACAAACGTTTAACAATGAAGATCTACCCTCTCGGTTGAATGCATGAAGATGTTCAAAGGGTTTACAGCTACCCAATTTCATTCATTCTCAGAAGAAATCATGCATTCATGGTATAATGCATTAAATAATGACTTGTGTTTTTAGATACAGTTCACATTATCAAACATTGACTACTAATCCAAAAAACAGGAATAATACTTATACATCAAATCAATATAGTGTTGATTAAACTTGTAATTATGTTAGTTTTTCAGTTGTTTATGTTGTGTTTCTGTTTTTCTTCAGTTTCAGTGGATGGTTACTAATAATAGAATGCATGCAAGGATGTCTGTATTACTCAATCTGGAACTGAAGAGATATGAAGGACTTTACCTCATATTGCCATCAGCCACATAGACACATATTTTACCTTATAAAACATGTTTGTCTCTAAACAACCAACAATCACTACAGAAACTATTTCAACGAGCAGAATATTAGTCAAACAAGGCGTCTCCTCCCCTCACATTTTGACACTTGTGCACCGCCCCTTACTTCGTTGTCGAAATGGGCCTGTTACACAACTGAATTTTGGTGAATCATTACTCGTTGGTGTCGTCTCCTGGTGGTTTACATAAACAGAATGTAATGATAGAACGAGTGAGCGAATGCTCTCCCACATTACTACAGGTGCTCCCTGACCAAGAAATGGTTCCCAGGTTTGTTGCACTATTTAGAGAGAGAGAGAAAGAGAGAGAGAGAATGAAATGAAGCGAAAAAGCACATATCCCCTGCCACATGCACGCTTTTCACATTGCAGTCATAGGCATTTTGGCCTCTGCGGTTATACAGATGCAGAAATGTCTCAAGGGCTTGTGCATTTGATACGGCACCAAAATGATCCGAACGGCAGCGGAGAAGGCTTTGTTTCAGATTTGCTCATGAGATATGGGACGGTTTTCAAAAAACAAATCCCATTACATAAGAGGCAGGAGCCCTCTACAAGTGCTACAAGCCGTAGACGGCATTGTCAGAGAGTGTGACTTCAGCCGGTAATGAAATATTACTTACTGCAATGTGTGAAGAGACCCCACAGATACAACCGCACACACACATACACACACGCGGTATACTACTCCGTATCTGGATGAGAAGTGGAGAGAGAAGCGTAGATTTTAGGGCGCTTTCAGATCTCTGCACAGATGGACTTTTCGTTTCTTGATCTTGATTAAAAACACAAGCGCTGTAAAATGTAGATTATTACAAAAAGTATGTGCTCTTATATGGAAATACTGAAATCTTTTAAACATTAAATCTCAAAATGTCTTGCGGACAAATAACAGAGGTTCAGCTGGAGACGAACAAAAGCCCGACTGAGAGACGCTTTCTCTGTGTGTGTGTGTGTGTGTGTGTGTGTGTGTGAGTGAGAGAGACGCAATGTTATCAGTCACATCACATCACAGTCTGCAACTACATTGATTAAGAGAGTCACCATGCAGACTAATTTGAACATGAAGCAGACAGAACAATTACTAGCAACGGCTGATTTGATGTGAGGACATCGGAAAACTTTATTGGTTGTTGAACTTCGACATCTCCATACTCTCAAGGTATTTTCCTCATATTTAATGCAGCTCAAATTGCTCCATTACTATCGGTTGTTTCATTCATGTCACTGGTGAATAATGTATTCTGTATGATCACACGTATGTAGACATCTGTAGTCATACATTTTCTGCGTGTGCGTTTGCACATTTCTCACGAGTAGGGGAATTGAATGTCAGTATTTTGTATTCTGTACACGTGCGGTTGTGATTCGTTTATTGCTCTCTATTGAAGATGCAGCCCTCCGAGAGACTTAAAGCAAATACTATTGTAAACCCGGAGCTTCTAAAGGACTGCGGGAGCCGAAGCCATCCATCAGAGCCGGGGCATGCAAACAAAATGCATTAGAGCATGCGCGTCCAACCGGTCCCACGACACCAGCGGAGCAAAATAAGATGTTGTATTAGGAAAGGTGAAGGGATGTCATATAATAAGCTGGAGATCAGAAAACCCTCTTGTGGCGCCAAAGCAAAGGGCAGGAAAATATTTGGAAAAAATTAGAGTGTGACTTGGTTCTGCAAAAAAAAAAAAAGCGAAGAGGCCAAGACAGAGCATTAAAACTCTTCACCTCTTTTGAAGAGTACGGCGCTGAAGACAGTGCGGCTCTGAGATCTGTGGTTATCCTTCAAAGGCTGCGTAATGACTAGAAGTGGGTGCATAAGAAGCCGATTGCACACGGCTGCGTGTTGCTTTTTGCGGCGCCGTGGTGGCGGCGTCCTCTAGGAATGATTAACCCAGAAGAGCTTTATATAGAAGGGAGAGGAAAGAAATAGATGATGAAGAGAGAGAGAGAGAGAGAGAGAGGGAAGAGGGCAGGGAGGACATTTTTGTATTCCGTCGAGAGTCTCCTCTCTACCTCTGTACATCAAACCGTGTTCACCACCCTTTTCCAATTTGTCTGTAAATTAATCGTTCACTGTAATCAGTCAGAAGCACTGAAATACGCTGCGTGCGAGGTTGTGGGTGCACCAATGCGTGCGGGTCGACAACCACATGCTGAGAATAATAGAGGCAGACTGCTTGTCATTCACTTTTCCTGTCCATAGATACAATGATAATACAATTAGGCTCATTTAGGGTATACGCCCAGGTAAAATCTCTGTGCTGCTCTGGAAAAAAAGAAAGTTAAAAGTTCCCTTTATTCTGTGTTATCAATGTTAGCCTTGATAATCAAAAGTTATTTTCATGGGCTTAGTTGGGGGTTTGCTGTCTAGTCTTGATTTAAGAGTTAGGTAAGGGGGGAAGCAGGATCTGCCAAGCAGGCAGACACGAGTCTGACAGGATGGGGAGTCAGTTTATGTCCTGGCTGAGGAATGTAAGGTCTGCGGGTCAACTAGAAGATTTACCAGCCAAAGGGGGGTTAGAGACACACCAACACTATTCAACATACACACTCTGTTTACGATGTTTACGTTAAGTCAGGAGTCTGGACATTGGATGTGACCGGATCTTAGATGCGGGAGGTGGAAGGTCCTCCTCTACGCCAGTTTAGGGCCAATAGAAATCTTTCCTTCTCTGTCTTTCAAGGGTTATAAAACATGATGTTCTTGCTGATGTTAGGGAGTTGTTCTTCCGGCCTGTGTGCTGCCTGAACTGCTCCTGCCTTTGCAAACGCAGCGCTGATACTTGACCTGTGATCTGACAAATAAACTTCCCAGAACGAGAGAAGTCATTCGGCTGAATTTTTGATAACCCCGACCAGGCTCCAAATCTTGAACACGTATTCTTACAGCCTCAGAAATCAGAGCAATGTGCAAACAATTTCCAGAGTGGTAATAGCACATTGGAGATAGATCGACTGCATTGCCACCAGGGCGAGCAATCACGTCTGCAACTATTCCAGCTAATTGTGACGTGGTGGCAGTTGCAGCAGGGGCGGGCTGGGGTTGCTTCCGACGCAGAACACCAGCCAGGCCTGCTAGCTCACATGCAGCCATCAGCCCTAATCTCCCGCCATTTCCTAACAATAGCACTGATGTGCTTGCTGGCTGCTCCCAGCAGCCAGCAACCCTCTTTAGCTTTTCCATTATCAGGGGAACAGTAAAGCTGAAATCAGCCGGAGTATTGTCGCTCCGGCTGTGATGGAAGGCGGACCCGTTACCAGATTTGGTCTCACGTGAGCTTGGAAATGTGGAGGATGTGAATATTAGCAAAGGAGGAAACATGTGCAGGAGGGTGTGTATGTGAGAGGAAGATACTCCAGAGTTTAACATAGTGGAATGGATAATAAGGTCAGAAGACAATTTCCTTAAGCTTAATTTCCTAAATAAAGCTCTTTTGTGAATAATAAAACAGCCTTTATGTTCCTTCTAAATCAAAATAGTTTAAATAAAACATTGATCTCAAAAGTCTACATTAGTTATTTTGTTGAATGATGTTTTCCCAAGAACTGCTACTTCACTTATACACCAATTTAACGAAACAAAACATATTTCACAGTTCTTACTAAACTAAAACATTTTA